CGTCCACCGCACCCGCTCTCCGGAGGCTGCCCCTTCCCGTGACGCTAATGAGAGCCAGCGTCTCGCCCCCGAGTGTCACATCGGCGACAGTGACAGCTTCCAGCGCGGAGCGGGAGCCACGTGATGTCTGGTTCCTCCAGCGATGGACTCGGGCTACAGACGTCCACCCGATCACTCCAGTGCCACCGCCTGCAGCCGCCTCACCAGTGTGACATCTCAGGGGGTGCAGGGAAACGTCCCGCCGCGGAGCTCTCCGGGCGCTCACGCTGCTCCGCGTGCTCAAGGTGACTGCGTTCGCAAAAGGAGGAGCTGGGCCCACGCAGGAGACCTCGGCAAGGACCTGGAACGCGGCAGGCGCGGGAGGGGCGCCGGCTCCTGCGCGGCGCGACAAAAAACCCCCCTGGCGGCCGTGCCCCCGAGCCCCTGCAGAGCCAGCCCTGCGTTTCGGAGGGGGCCAGGCTGACCCAGCGCCTCTGTCTGCACCCCCACGCTGCCCAGGACGTGCCTCGCTCCAGTGGAAGCGGGAATGACAAAGCCTGGAGATCCCTGTCCCCTCCGCTCAGCTGTCACAGAGGCAGAGGCTGTCACTTGTCCCCGCAAAGACCCGGCGCTCGTGACCTTGCAGCGCTCGCCAGCCAGGCGGATACTCAAGCTCCGGAACAAACACGCTGCTTCTCACGCCAGCCCTCGCCGCGGGCAGGAAGGCTGGCAACCTGCGTGGATGCCACCAAGCACAAAGCGGGGAGAAATCCCACCTGAACGGGTGAATTGACCCCTGGCTAACCCACAAATGGGCTGCTCGCGGGGGGCTCTCGTGGTGGCAGGTTTCTCAAACACACGTTTGCACAGCACAGCCCTTGCCCTCCTCCCTGGGAGGAGCACAGACACAGGCCAGGATCTCCAGCTCTCTTATTTTAATTGCTCTGGGACAAACGGCTCTGCTAGGTCAGTGATTTCCAACCTTTCTCAATATCTGAAAGCACCACAGAGGGGTTGCAAGTCCCCAAACGGAGCCTTTCAGCTTTTCCGATTTGCCCGTCACGGCTCTCGGCTGCGGCCCCGAGGTCTGCAGGGCTCCTGCGGATCACAGGCTGAAACCAGCCCGAGTCTGAGGGTCCGATCCAGGAAAAATACACCCCTTCCAAAAGGTCGGAATAAACGCTTGAGCAAACAGCTTGGGAAAAACAGGCAAGAGCAGCATTTACAAGACGAAAAGCAGCATGCAGGGCTGCTGCAAGGTGTCAAGCTGCCCTGCGGATGAGGCCTTCCTTGTTTCTACAAGGCTATAAAGGAGAGGAAAAAAAAAGAGATCCCAGACCAAGGAAACCAAAACCTGGCGTGCAGGTAGCAGCGTTAGAGCTCTCTCCATCCTGCCGTCCCAAGACGTCCTGACGTCCACAAAGGCATTCGGCCCATTCAGGCCTATTCAGCCCTAACGCAAAAGCGATAAAATCAGCGATCCTCGCTCCTGGTTTGCCAGGGCAAGGGAA